CCATTTACAATCTCAAAAACTTTTTCAGCTGGTTCCTGTTGACTAGAACTTGAATTTCACCATTAAACTCAGTGAAATATGAAGATCCTGAGCAGCCTTTTTTTTCAGAAGCAATGCATACAAGACCTTGGGAATACAGGGAAACTCTATATTGCTGCTGATGTAGCCTTTTAATATTAATCCAGATCTGGTCAGACATTAGAAACAGATAACTGTGAGTGAGATGTTTGCTTATTAAAGATGCATTTGAAATCACATTTGAATGTACTGATTTAAGAGACGTTGTCCTGTCCCTACCATAGGATCGTATAGGGCAAAAAATACTTCCAAGATTGTCCAGTCCCAGCTTTGAATTCCATGGTTCCCACTAAACCCATCAAATCAGAAAGCAGAACAGTCAAAATGAGACTGGACAAAGGTTCACAAATAGTTTTAATGTTCTACTCCTTGCCTGGCTGTCACTGAACAAGTTCAACCTCAAAAAGAAAATTGTGAGAAGAAAATAAAAAAAAAATAAGTAAAAGCCCGTCTTCCTAATGCAGAAGAATACCAATAAATAGACAAATAGCTCTGCTGCTTTTAAGAACAGAAAAAAGGAAATTTCAGCCAAGGAAATGCATTGGAAATTAGGAATTTGCATGAAGTTCCCCATCTGCAAAACAAAACATCCCAGCTAAAACGCTGCAAGCAGAGTCTGTGAAAACTCTGCCTTCAAAGTCCTGGGAGTGATGAGTCCTTCCCCACAGTCTCCCTGTCAGGGGAACACTGGCACACCAGTCAAACAACCAAAACAGCAAACAGCTTCTGGGAACACATCCTTCCACTCTTCTAAAACAAACTCATTGAAAACAAACACAATCCAAAGTACTTCTGCATCTCTGCAGACACATCCTGCTGGGAAAATACCAGCAGTGAAGGAAAAGCAAAGTGAACAACAATACATCCTGGAGAAAAACCCTGACTCACACATTTCCACAGCATTACAGAGAAAGCCAAGTTTCACTTTTGAAATGTTAAGAGGGTTGGTGTTTTAATAACCAACAGAGTTAAAAGAGGATGAAACACTGAGCCAGCAGTATTTCAGCCAACAGGGAAGTGCTGTCACTAAGTGTGGCTTCAATGGGGTGTCCAAAGCAGACAATTTAAAGGCTTCATGGCCACCATGCTTTAAAATTCATCATCACTAACTGTCATCATTTTTGGGGGTGTTTTGAAATCTAAACCTGAACAAGTGATGGAGCAGCATCACTTCTTTTAGGGGACAGCTGCTCCCAAGTGTCTCAGAGAAGTGGAACAGAGCTGAAGCAGGGAATTGTGTCCTGCAAAAAGCAGCAGCAGCCTAAGCAAAAGGCAGTGAATATTGCCTGCCTTGCACCGAGGCATGAGCCCACTGAAATAGTGCAGCTGGCAGTGATACAAAATGCCTTTAGCAACACTTTCTGTGAGAGGAAGACACTCTGAGCATAACTCTTTACATTTACATAAATATCTGCAACCACAAAGGGGTCAGCAGAGACCCGTGGTACAGTTGCACAGAAGGAGCAGGGGAAAACACTCTGAAACACTAGAATCAGCAAGATAAAAATAGGGAATTGAGAAGCAGGAGAGCTGTGTGCTGGGACCAGGTAATTCTACAGAATAAGCAAGAAAGGAGCCTGGTGATGCCAGAGAAAGTCCTGGCCTTGAAAATAATTTAAACTCTGTCAAGGGCGGATGAGATTATCCCCTTTTCTTTTGGGAGAAGGGTATGAAACACCAGCAATGGGAAAGGAAATCTGGGGAGGAAACACTACTTTGATTCCAGCTCCTGCTCTCCAGCTGACTCTGCCACAGGCATTCTGGCAATATCTTCTGCTGGGACAGAACTCGAAAAAATGATGTCAAAATCTGCTGCTTTCCTGTCATTTGTCCTGTTCATGGGCCTGTGTTTCACCTGTTTTATTGGTTGGTGTTGCTCAAGGCCAGGTTGGATGGGGCTAGGAGCAACCTGGGAAGGTGGGAGGTGACCCTGCCCATGGGAAAGGGTGGGGCTGGGTGGACTTTAAGGTCCCTTCTAACTCAAACCATTGTGAGATTGAGATTCTGTCACTGGTGTAGCCTATACTCAAATCATACCCAAAACAGGTGCAAAAGGCTCTTCTAGCAGCCTAGCCCATATGGAATTTATCCTTCTGCCAGCACTGTAAGCCACAACCCAGTCACAGAGGAGGCTGTGCCACACCCCACCATGACTGAGGTGTCCTCACAGCTCCTCCTGCTCCAAATGGCAGAGGAGGAACGACTGCAAAGGCATTTGCTTTTGGCTTCTTCTTTAGAGAGGGTGTGCAGCACAGATTGCTCCTTTGGAAAACCCAGCAAGCATGGAATACAGCAAGATGCTCCAACAATTTATAAAAGCTTAGAAAGACACCTCTATCTCAAGCAAGTAGAGTGATACCTGCAATCAAAGAAAGCACTTATCATATAAAGATAAATTTTCACTCAATTGCTCCCAAGTGCCCAAGCCAGAAAAGACAGAAAGTGAGCTGCCCTCAGGCATCCAGGAGTTCCTTGGTTTACCTTTGCAGTCACCATAGGGAAATCACCCTTTTATTATAACAATGTAAAAATATTGCATTTGGATTAAATATATAGTCCTGACAGCATAAGACGAATCATGTTTGTTTGGCCCATGTAATCAGGACAGTGAGAAATGAGCTATTTACACTGATAATCTCAGGTTGTTATCAGTAAGATTAATTTGTCTGCAGAGACATTCCCAGGTGACCCCAAGATCCTGTAGTAGATTTATGCTACACTTTGGAGATTTATGAATTGAGAGAGTTAAGAAGAGTATTGCAAACACTTTTAGATTCACTGGAACAAAAGAATAGAACAAAAACTAAACTTAAGGATTTTGTGGTAAATTTGTTCCCTGCAGTCCAATGTTAACTCTGGGAATTTGGCTCAGATCTGTGAGTTGAAGCAGCATTCCCTGGATCTTACTGCAATTTTCCATTCAGCAGCCTCCCCTGAAATTCTGTTATTAACATTTCCAGAAAAGCCTCCAGAGCAGAACCAGGCTCAAGAATGCATTTATCAGCAGATGCAATAATAGCAAATTTATTGCCCTGAAGAGGAAGCTATTGTAGATTATTTATATATATTTTTTGGACACTGACTTCTGAATTATTTGGTAATCACTTTATTTGTTGGCCTCACAAGACACAGAGAACAACTGAAACTGTTTATTGACTGTTTGCCTCCATTTTTCTTGTTGTCGTTTCAAGACTTGGAGCATTTGCTCTGGGCTAATTGGCTAATGCTTGTTCAAACTGACTCTTGCTTTAAATCCCCTCCCAAAGGAAGAACTCAGGGCAGCTATTAAAGAAATGATGCTGTTGGTTTTCTTTTCTAAAGGATTCTCACAAGGTTTCTTTGTCCTTCTTTCCCCCCTTTCCTTCTCTTGCTGTTTCTGCACCTCAGAACACTCAGCTTTAGTGGATGAGGTCAGCATGTGTCCAGATCACTTCTCCAGATGGAGAATTAAACTATCCAGTGAATCCTACAAAGCTGCTCAATATTTCATTCCAGTCTCACTGGAATGAAAGACAATAATGTCGAGATTTGAGTACTATTGATGCAATGTTCTCACAGGAGCTACTCAGGATATTATGGAACACAACTGTGGCTATAGAATGCTCCATGTTGATCAACAAAATCTGACAATACTTCTTACAACAATGTTTTCTAGCTCCCCACAGGAGGTGCTCTTCAGACAGGTTTCCCTCATTAATTTTCATCCTATTTCTCAATGTCAGCAAATTTATTAAGAGCAGGAAAAACAAAAAAAAAAAAATCCCAGCTTTCTGTTCTCCACAGAATCCCAGAATGGTTTGGGTTGGGAGGAACCTTAAAGCCCATCCAGTGCCACCCCCTGCCATGGACAGGGACACCTCCCACTAGCCTATGTTGCTCCAAGTCCTATCCAACCTGGTGCTGCCAGGGATCCAGGGGCAGCCACAGCTTCTCTGGGCACCCTGTGCCAAGGCCTCCCCACCCTCACAGAGAACAGTTCCTTACCAATATCCCATCCAACCCTACCCTCTGACAGTGGGAAGCCATTCCCTGTGTCCTGTCACTACATGCATTGGTGTCATTTTGAGAAAGGTTCTTTACTTGCTCTTGGTGCTGATTTTTTTTCTTGGTAGTCATTTCTGCTCTGAAATTTTGGTCCAAGTCATCACACATGCAAAAAGTAACCAAAAGTAAAACTTCCCCCCACTAGAGCTCATGGAAGTCTGGAATCTGCACTAGAAATCCTACAATTGGTAAACTGAGGTAGGAAAACACAGGAAGGAGTTTCTCAAGAAGGTTTAGTTCCTACAAATATTTGGTATCGTCAGGGTGGTCTTTTATTTTACACCACATTTCAGCAGAATACGAGATACACTTCAGCCAACATTGGAAGAGGAAGAAGATAATCAGAATTTTGGGGTATTTTCCAAAAAAACCCTCCTTTACCATTAATGAGTTCCTTTAAAGCTTACCTCAAGTCTCCAACTGGCAATATATACTAGGGTAATAATATTTTAAACTCTTCTAATAGAATGAATATACAGTGTTAGAGCATTTTCACTATAAATACACTGTCCTGTATGATGAGATGATTTCTACTTTGTGAGACCTTTAATTCATCTGCTCTAGGTGACAATTATCAAGCAGAAATCACAGCTATTATTCTTTTAATCTAATCAGCTATGGTCTAGTTTACTTCCAGATGTATCTTATCGACTAAAAAAGAAAACTCTAATAACTCACAGTTTCTCTGGGATCAGTTTGTCATAATTTGATTAATTCCCTCCTCATCTTCTTCTTTCTTTCTAATGTTATAAATCAGCCTAATCAAATTATTGTCACTTTCTCCATACAGGCAGAAAAAAGACAGATTGTCTTTGCTGTCAGCAGTTGGCAGAAGTCTGAAATACGAAGTTTGTTAAAACTTATGAACAAGCAAAAAGTACAGACTCAAAAAACTGTAGATTCCTTCCAGTGCTCCATAGACAGGGTATATATTAATCATTCATACAATTTCATCTCCTTCTTAGGCTCTGTCTTACTTAAATGCAGGAGTTTTGAATCAAATTTATCATTGTAAATAACCAGAGGGGGGGAGGAAAGAAGAGGAGATTCTGCAAAAGCAGTGATTCATGAGGGAAACTTTGATTTTGCTTGATATGTCTTGTCTGAACCTCTTTTAAATTGCTCAGCCTGGAGGCCATATTTCATTTTTGTTTGTTATCCAGCACTCGTCTGGAACAGTCCATCGTGCTGCAGCAGAGGAAACATGGAATGGCAGTGTTCTTCCCTAAATCAAAGCTGTATTTCCTTGGGAAATGATTCTCCTTGGGACTGCCTTTGCCTCCTATAATATTCCATGTGCCGTTTTTGCTAAGAATCACATCTTTCCTCATCTTATAACCTCAAGCTACTCTAGTAGATTAATCTGGTTAATTTAAGTGTGGAGAACATGCTTAGGTTGAACTTTTGATTTTACTGACTTCTCTAAAAACTTTTCTGAAGAGCAAGTACAACTAATTAAGAATCTTCTTGCTGCCAATATTACATAATGAAACTAAATCACAGAATTATATAGTAACTGGGAATAATCTGATTCTGAGAATGTCATGATTTATTTCCTCCAAAATGAGAGTACTAGAGAATAAGGGACAGAAACCTCACTTGGAGTAGTTTTTCTAACTAAAGACTCATTTTGAAAATGACTAAATAAGATTGGAACAGGTTGTACAAATGAGAAGGAAAATAATTTAGTTTTATGTAAGTGTCATTATGTTTGGCTTAAAGCTCACAAAAAGCAAAAATGGGAGGAATTGCTGTTAAGTCTATAATGTCATTAAATAAAAAAACACTGGTGCAATGTTTCTGAGGAAAGCTCAGAACTGATGCATGGTGGGAAACTGTTTCAAAGAATGAGAAGAAAGTCCGTGTACACAGGAATAAAATACTACAAACTTGCACAAAGCATGTTGATTCATTTACAAGAACATCTTTGCTTCTGTCCTTCCTCTAGCTGTAGTTCTTGCACTGGTATTTTACAGCTCTGGGCAGGCATTGAGAAAACTGTCACACTTGCCAAGCCTTTAGACTGTAAAACTTTTATTCTCCCATAAAGCAGTGGAAGATGAGCCTGGACTAGACTGTCCAATATAAGTGTTCTAGAAAAGGAAAATTCCAGGTAAATAGAGTTGATCCAACACAACTGCAGCATTAGGGACTCTTCTGTTCTGCCTAGTGACAAAGGGACCAGGAGGGTGGGATTAATCTTTCCTGGTTTTTCTGATATCAGGTAAATTCACGTCTTTAGTGCAGCACTGCGACACAAAAGGCTTTCCAAATGATCAACACTGATATTTTATCAACAGCTCCTTGGCTCCTTGTTCTCACCAGACACATCTTCTGCTGACTGGTGCAGAATTCCCAATCAATGAAAGAATTCACAAGTATCTTTCCAGTATCTATCTGGATTTCTTCATTGTGACTTCATTGTGAAAGCTCCCATCCTAGATTGCACAAAAAACAATTGTGTGAGGGATTCCAGAGGCTTGTTCATGTTGAGTGGCACCATATTCATTTTTGAATTAACCTATTCAAAGATGTGTTTCACGTAAACTCTCTGAAAAAAAATCCCCAATAACAACAGAAAACACTGGAAAGTGAGCTGGGAAGATCAGGTGAAACTTAACACTGGCAGCTGAATTCTGTTTCATGTGGCAAATATTTCCTCCACCACATTCTCCATAAATATATATTTTTACAAGCTTCTTTTGGAAAAAAAAATAAGAAAAAGGACAATTAAATGGAAAAGTAACAACATATAACCACCTTTCCTGAGCCCTGACACTAGAAACTCAAACCCATCTAGTTTAAGCCAGAGAAAAGGCGACACAGATAGCAAATGAAGGTCTACTCATGAAATGAGACTCAGGGTGCCTAATTAATGCTCCACAAGATCAAGGAAACAACAGCAAAAAAGCACCAATTATTACTAAAAAAACAAAACTTCTTTGGGTAAAATGAGAAAGTTCCTTCCTGCCAGCCCAGAGAAAACAGGGGATTCCCAGGACTCACACTCAGGCAGGTGATCATTCCCAGCACATTAATGAAAAGCAGTGGGAAGCAGCTGTCTCATTTGCAGGCCTTTCAGATGTCAGGCAACCTCATGACTTCAGTGGAGATTTCCTCTCGCTCCAGACTTCACTGGATTCATTCACTCAGAAGACACTTCCTGCTAACAATTAAATGTTAATTAAGATTGGGACTACAAGTGAAGCAGCTTTCAACCCCCACTAACTCTAACCCACCTCTGAGTACACAGTATTTTGGAGTTAATGCTGAATTGTTGGTGACATGAGAGGGAAATAAAACCCAAGAAAAGCAAGTAATGAAAAAGGAAACAATTGCTTACCTCCAAAGAGCCCCTGAGCCATGGCAACACCCACTACCCTCCACCTACCCATTTTTATTTATGATAAATAAATACAATGTCAGGTGGTCTGGGTTGTTTGGGATCAGCTGTCCTGGCTGTGTCCCCTCCCAACTCCTTGTGCACCCCCAGCACCTCACAGGGAGGGAGAGGAGGAGTAAATGCTGTGTGAGCACAGATCAGCAGCAGCAGAAACATCAGTGTGCTATCAGTGTGCTATCAGCACTACTTTCAGCATTGTTCACCCAATTTCAGAACACAGCCCCATGCAAGCTGCTGTGGAGAAAGTGAACTCCACTCCAGCTAAAAGCAGGACCTGGTCACAGACCTTGGGGTGTTTCAGTCAGGAGATCATTCTGGAATTCCCTCAGAATGAGGGAACCGCAGTGGCCTCAACTTCTTTCTTCCCCCGTCCTCCTGGTTTGACTTCTCACTGCCTGAAAACAGTCTCCCCAGTCCCATGCCACTTCCTCCCCTCCTGGAAAGCAGGATCCCATCTCCTCTAAATAATCCTGACTTTTTTTTTTTTTTTTTTTTTTTTTTTTTTTTTTTTTTTTTTTTTCTGTTTATCTTTTTAGGTGTTCAGGAGGATTCAGTCTGTTTGTAATCACTTGTGCTCATATTTTCCTTACTGAAGTGAATATACCACAGCCTATTCTGAGTTGTTTGTGAAGATCCCTGTCTCTGGGATGGGGCAAAGTCACAGAAAGAGGTGTCTGGCAATGTCCCCAGTACAATTTCTTTCAGTTTATATTAAAATTAGTGTGCCTGAAGTTTTAAATCCTTTCTTTTTTCTCTCTTATGTACAGTGTGCATTTTTGACTGAGAAATACTGCTAAAACTTGCATCAGAGGTAAGACAAAAATGAACAGCAGCCCTAATATGTTATTGGATGTATTTTGTGGTCACAGCCATGAAATCCGTTCTTCAGCTTTCCTCCCCTGCTACACTGTGTTATTTACCTGTAATAATTAAATCCATATCCTATTTTTATCTTGGCCTGAATGACCTAGAGATTAAACAGGACCTACTGGAACCTACAGCTCTCTGTGACCCAGAACACCAATAAAAAATAACCAAACTAGGTGTATTGAAAATTATGAAGGAATGTCCTCTTGCCTAAGAATTCAGAGGGTGATGACAATAATGTCTATTTCCTTAACATGAATAAACCTTAATTTTGTCTGTTATAGCTGAAGATGAACAAACAAAACTATCAAACTGAAATTAAAACTTTTCCCTCTACTGTTACAAGGGAGATATGAGGCAGGGAAGCATTTTTTAATATACAAAAATATCAGACTAAATAATAAAAGAAGAAACCTCTACCAGTTATTATTTTCCAGATTTTTCTCTCATTTACCCTTTTTGTCTCATTTCAACTCATTTAGTACACTCTATATTGAAACAAAGATTCCCTGCTCCCCATCTGCTCAGTTCTGATTTGCTCCCTTTTTCACCCCCAGGAATTTAATTACCACCAGGAGCTCACAAAGCACAACCTCACGAACATATTTTCATCAAATGGGAAACTAAGCTAACAAATTCATGAGGGCTACAATACCCTGAATCCATGGATAAGTAAGAGATCTTTATAAAGTCATAAAATGTTTCCTGTGTAGCTTAAAATAGCAACTTTCTGTGAGAGCAAATGAAAACGTGTGATTGTCTCATCCCCACATGTTTAGCAGAACCTGAAGGATATTTAGCTGATGCAGATGGTTTGAAAAGGGAATGTTTAAATTAGGTGCAGATTTGAGTCTGACAGGGAACAAATATAAAATACAGGAGTTTGAAGTACATGGAAATACACAAATTGTTGCAGACAGGAGAGTGGCTGCAGGGATGCTCAGCGTATAATATAAAATCAGGGGCTGGGTTGGGTTGGAAAGGACCTTAAAAATTATCTTTTTCCACCCCCTGCCATGGTCAGGGACACCTTCCTCTATCCCAGATTGCTCCAAGCCCCATCCAACCTGGCCTTGGACACTCCCAGGGATCCAGGGGCAGCCACAGCTTCTCTGGGCACCCTGTGCCAGGGCCTCCCCAGCCTCACAGGGAAGAATTACAGCACTGCAAACATATTTTATCCACTTTTCTTAAAGTCTCTGTAAGAACTGCTGCAAGCTTTTGCTCCAGTAGGTAATATTTTCACTTCAACCAACAGAGATCTGGGAAATGAAATAAAGCATCAATGTAGTTCATTCCTGAAATAGTCACAAAATTGTCATATTTCTAACTTGACAGAAACTGCACTTTCTAGTCTATAGACTATTTCAATCTTTCAAAAAGTTTCTTCAATTTAGGAGAAACATTTGTGGCAAAGTAGTTCTCAGGAACTGCACATTTGAAGTAGTGATGAGTAATCTTCGACATTTGGACTCAGAGTTCTAAAAACTCCCTTTTCCTGAAGGGAGCTAGGAGTGGGGAAAGGACGGCTCAATGAAAATGTCAGAGGCTGTGTTCTCCTGGAGGCCTGTCTCAATGCTGACAAAGTCCTTTTCCAATTTCCTTTAAAATGGATTTGGGAAACGTTTATTAGTTCTTCCTGAAGTGCCTGTAATTACTTTGTCTGTGCTGCTCAGTCTAGGCCTGCAGGCTGCTTTGCACAGACATCTCTTGTCCTCCTGTGCCGTGTGCTCTGACAGGAGATATTAACTCTCCAATACAGACAAAGTTCAGATGTAATTTGTGATCCTAATCCATGCAAAGTTGCTACAGCTGAGATTGAGAATTCCTTCAGAGCAGATTTTACAAGAGCAATAATGGATGTTCAGTGTTAATGCAGATTTACTTGTAATTTTATTTATATCAGAGAATCATTTAGGTTTGAGATCATCGAGTCCAAGCTGTGCCCAGTCCCCACCATTTCACCAGCCCTGAGCACCAAGTGCCACGTCCAGGCCTTCCTTGGACACCTCCAGGGATGGGGACTCCAAACCTCCCTGGGCAGCCCCTGAGAATGTTTAACAACCCTTTCCATGGAGAAATCCCTCCTGATGTCCTGGCTGAACCTCCCCTGGCATGCCCTGGGGCCGTTTCCTCTCTTCTCATCACTTGTTCCCTGGGAGCAGAGCCCAGCCAAGCTCCACAGTCCTTGAGGCCCAGGTCCTGGCATCCTTACAAGCCATGAGGAAGAGATCTTAAAGCAAACATCACTCATCAGGAGTGTGGGTTTTATGGAGTATGGGTACACTAGCTTTTGAAGCAGCTCTTCATCATCCCCACTTAGCCATTCAGTCCATTTTCTTTAAGTCTGGGAACACACAAGAATTCAGTTCCTTTTTAGAAAAATTCCTAACCAGAAGATGCTCTCCAGAGGGATTTCTTAGGCAATAACTAGAATTCAATCCACAGGAGCAGACTAGAGCCAGTGTAACCCCAAATCCTCCAAATTCTGAGTGTTTGTCCCTGCTCTGCTGTTCACATCTGTTCCTGATGCAGTGTTTGCTAAGACAGACACAGCTGTACATCCAAACTGGAAATAAAACTACACCTGAAGGTTGATGGGGAGAAACCCCATCTGGCCTTGAGAAATTTTATCAGCATTTTTCCAGTCTCCACGTAAAAGTAACAACCACAAGCCAATTTTAAGGAATAATCTCTCTGATGGAATTTATTTCCCTGATGATTTTGGGGTCTTCCATTTCTTTCCCTGCCTATAGGAATTACCCAGAAAATCTTATGTTCAGGAAAACACCTAATTTGTTGTCATTAATCAGCTTCATTCATAATATTCATATGTTTTAGAAGTCTTTAAGCTTCTGATTTGCATCATTAATATAACAAAACTCTCCATAAAATGTTATGTTAAAATAAGTTCTCTTAGACACAAAAGATATTAGAAGCAATTTTCAACTGCAATTACCATGTTCTGTTAATTTTCTGTAAATTAATAAATTTAATACATTTTTTAAATAGCTAAAACCATTTTCCAGTGGCAAATTTAATCAATATTCTATAATATTCCTTTGAGCTGTCATTTAAATGTTTGTCACAAATTATCTCTGTGAAATAGCCCAGGAGATTGCAGGGAAGGAACTTTTACTGCTGGTATCTACAGACCAATCTCCTGAAAGAATAATCCAGAACAGCCTCAAGTTTGAAACAACAGCTGATTTACTTTGTGAATTTATTCTGTGGTTACTTTTAGTGTTATTTCTTATATAAAAATGGATATTCTTTCTGGACACAGAGCATTAATTTATTTAAAAATATAATGAATGTCAGGATATCTATTCGACTTGTGATTTTATTAAGTAACTCCAACTTTCAGTTGAAAATCCAACCTGCATTGATTAAAATAAATAGAAGCTTTCTAAAGTAAACACTGCTTGAAAATTACTATTTCATTGTTTAATTGATATGTTTAATTTGGATCAATAAGATAAGGCATAGTCAAAAAATCCAGCTTCAATTCTTTGTGACCTGTTTAAGAAAAAAAATGCTGAAAGCATATAAAACTTTGTAATATTTTAATTTTCTATTCCACAATAACCCTGAGTTATCTTCTGGAATGAAACTTGAAAGCACAGTGTTGATAATGTTTCAGAAATGAGACTTTCCCAGAATTATTAAATTGGAAACAAAAGCCAAAAGTATTTCAGCAGAGATCAGCTTTTCCATGGTTTTTGAAACTATTTCTACCTTAAGTGTTCATGAGCAGGAATGCAATGAAACAGTACCATTTTTCTATTTTTTTCTAATTTTTCTCATCATGCCTATTCCCAGCCTTTTGTCCATACTCATCTAATTACTGGG